CAGACTTCCACTTTAAGTTTTTGGAATCAGGCAGATGAGGAAAAGTAGCAAGCAAAAGGGTCTGTAGTGTTACACAGACCTTTCCAGCGTAACAAATCTGCTTTGAAGTAGAATTCCCAAGAACCTTTAGTTTAACCCTTCAATACTGGGCACTTATACACCCTTCCTTCCCAGGCAAATTTTCACTTTTCAGCGCTGTCGCACTTTGACAATTGCACGGTCATGCAACACTATACCCATATGAAATGTTTATAATTTTTTTCACACAAATAGAGCTTTCTTTTGGTGGTATTTATTCACCACTGAATTTTTTATTTTTTTGCTAAATAAAACAAAAAACATCTGAAACTTTTGAAAAAAAACAAAAACTCACTTTTCTTCATTTCTGTTATAAAATTTTGCAAATAAATTACATTTCTTCATAAATTTAGGTCAAAATGTATTCTGCTACATTTCTTTGGTGAAAATAATTTAATTTGTGTTTTTTGTTTTTTTTTTTCAAATGTTTCTATATTTTTTTATTTTTTATTAAATGTTTTATTTGTTTTACTATTTTATTTTTCAGCACACTGTGACCAAAGCAATTCAATGTTACCATAGTAACATTAAATTACTCTGGGCAAGTGATAAGGATTTTTTTTTTAACACATTATGATTGCTAATATCAATGTATTTCATTGATCGTTGCAAACAGTGTTACTGAATGAAACTGATTCATTCACTCTTTTGTTGTGATTAGATGTGATTGGGCAAAGCTGATCACATGATACAGATGGGCTGTGATTGGCCCTGTCTGTATCATATGACTGCCTTGACCAGTCACAGCTAACAACATAATTGTATACGATGGATGGCATGACAGGACGCCATCCATTGTATACAATTGACATGTGATCTGCTGTGATTCGTCACAGCTGTCACATGACACTGGCAACGGGCCAGTCTAGTGATATGTCATCGACTGTGTCCCGTGGACACAGCCGGTGACAAATCGCACTGCTCGTTTTGACAGTACATCATATGATGCCCAGTCTCAACGGTGAGTGTCCCGCTCGGCCGCCAGTCCGCTATAGGTCGGGCGGGAAGGTGCTAAGTCACAAACTCAAGCCTCATTTTCTACTTATTTCAGCATTAGAAGAAACACAAAGGGGGAGAATTTACTAAAGCTGGTGAACTCAGAATCTGGTGCTTCAGTGCATGGTAGCCAATCGGCTTGTTCATTTTAAGCTCTGGCAGTACAACTTGGAAGCTGATTGGTTTCTCTGCAGAGCTGCACCAGGTTTTGCACCATGCAGTTTTAGTAAATAACCAAAGTGTGGGCAACCTTTGCCTGGTTGATAAGTACACCGCTACATTGGCTTGCTTTGTGTCTGTGTAACAAATTTCATGCAAATGTTTAAACCATAGGAAGATATAGTCAATGTTTCAGTTCAGAAATCTCTTCCAAGTACCACTATCACAGGAAAAACAAATTTGCACCCACTTTTTTCCTGTTTGTTCAATGTGTAACAATTAACAAGGCACTTCAGTGCATGAATGCAAAGGGTAACAGTGCATCACTACTCCTGTTTACCTGTCAGACAGCCAGAATATTGAGTGATTTGACGTCAAGCTGTAAAAACCAGCCTACTTTATTACGTTCTTATCTGTGTATTTGGAGACCAAGGCCTCTGATAATTCTGAAAGTTTCCTTTAATATTTTGCTAGTATAGTTTACAACTGGGAAATAAAAGTGACTATCTTCAAAAGGAAAGTTTTTCAGGGTAAAGCCCAGTACACAAGATCAGAAAATCGTACAGAAAGTGCTGCTTTGAAAGTGATCGTATAATCTGATAGTACACAGCAATGATCCGAAATTACTTGAAGGGACAAGCATGAAAATTTTTTTTGCACGATACCAGATCGTACAATTTTCTTTTAACCAGTACAGTTTTCATCCGAAAATGCAATACATTACATCACTTCTGAATTTTTATTCTGTCGTACGAGAATTTTCGTAACTTGGTTTTTTACAGGTTGTTCACTACCGATCACAAAAGCTTTTAGGGAATTTAGGGAAGACAAATATTAAAAAAAATATAGTATAGCTGGCTTAAAGTAGTTGACATTTTAGTTTTCTAAAGCTTTGTGAATCCCAAATATATATGTGTGACACACACACACACACACCCACACCCCTACCTACACACACCCCTACCTACCTACACACCTACCTACACACACACCTCTACCTACCTGCCATAACATTGTGATCACCCATCATAACAAGTCAAGGTGTGGACTCCACTAGACCCCTGAAGTTATGTGGTGATATCTGCCATCAGTAGCAGATCCTTTAAGTCCTATAAGTTGTGAGGTGGGGTCTCCATGGATTGGACTTGTTTTTCCAGCACATCCCACAGATGCTCAATTGGCTTGAGATCTGCAGAATTTGGAGGCCAAGTCAACCTCACAAACTCATTGTTATGTTTCTCAAACCATTCTTGAATCCATCAGACCAGACTACCTTCCTCCATTGCTACATGGTCCAGTTCTGATGCTCACATGCCCATTGTGACAGTGGACACAGATCAACATGGGTACCCTAGCTGGTCTGCGGCTCCGTAGCCCCATACACAACAAATTGCAATACATTGTGCAGGGATGTGCAATTCATATCGCCCGACACCCAGGACATGTAGTTCCGGGAGCCGGGCAGTTCGTTTTTTTTTTTTTTTTTTTTTTTTGCCTTTATCCCTGAAGCAGGCAAGCAGCAGAGCTCATCTGTTAGGTGGAAGCATTCGGGCGGCAGCAGAAATGCACTAAAGTCCATTTAGCATGGTTTCCTATGGGACACATTCACATATATGCTTTTTTGAACTGCTGTGGTTTTGAGAAAGATCAGGGACTTTTTTGTACACAAAACGTTGCATTTTTGGTTCAATAGACTTCAATGAAGATGCTGCAGAAAACACACATGTAATGCGTTTTGTATGTGTTTGATACATTTTTTGATGTGTTTTGTATTTATAATCTGCCCAGCAACAAGTTGGCCAAAAATCTATCTATATTTCTTTCAGCAGCCAAATAGTTTCTAAATGCATAGCTATAATGTTTGCTAACCTGTCAGGTTACCAACTGTAGTTTTTTTAAAAACAATTATATGCATCTTGGTTCTTGAGAACATTTAGCTAAACATTTCACTTTTTTTTTTTTTTTTTTTTTTGCTTCTTATCTGGATACAGCAGCACAGACCTTCACAACTGCACCTTTTCTGATACAGACTTTGCCAGCAGTATATGATAAGGGACATTGCTGATGATGCAGGAATTTTGAAGCATTGAAAAGCACATTTTTTGTCATGACCAATTATACTAATACCTCGTATAGCCCTTTGTGAATGTGTGTGTATAGTGATAAAAAAAAGTTGTATTTTATCATTGAAAAACATTTCAACACAAACACTGTATATACTGCAGGCTACCCATCCTTGGGTGTGGTGATTGCATTTTTGACATATAGTGTTCTTTCTACTTGCAAAAAATGGTCTTAGCCTAAAAAATGAAAACTAATGTAGTGTCCTTGTCATGTCTGCTAGAATACAGCAAAAAAAAAAAAAAAAATGTATCTTTCTTTTGTAACCTACTAATCCAGTCAATCCACCATGTAAAGCTCAACAAACTCCTCCATTCATGCCGTATAGCACAGAGGGAAGAATCTCCTGCTGCGGCTATTGTATTCAGACAGCCACAGCCAACACTTGTCTGAATACCTGGTTGGATTTAGCTGGGTATCAGTTTTTCAGCCAACAGGGCCACCCACTTAGTGAATTTTGGCTGGTTCTTATAGCATATACCCAGCTTAAAGTGGTACTAAACTGAAAAAACCCCCCCCAAAAAAAAAAAAAAATCTTTACATCACATACTAGCACACTATGAAAGACTTCCCTTAAAACGAAGCCCTCCAATGGTGTGCTGTCACCCCTTACAGGTCTTCCATCGTCCCTGGTGTTCTTTCCGGGTTCGTGGGCTCCGGCCACTTGAAGGGCCGAGCCACAATGACGTCACTCCCAGGCATGCGTGAGGGAGTCTTGCCAATGGCACAGCGCTCTCAATACATGGCATGCTGTCCATTGAGAGTGCATGCACCAGTGACTTGACCGGCTGCTACTTAAGTAAATATCTCCTAAAAGGTGCACGATTAGGGGATATTTACTGTACCTACAGGTAAGCCTTATTATAGGCTTACCTGTAGGTATAAATAAACAAAACGGGACTTTACCACAGTAATAGAGATGAGCAAAAGCCTGCAGCCTCCATAGACACAGTAAAGAAATGAAGGGACAGGAAATGTGTTATTTGCAGGGTTAACAGGTGTAAATAAGGGAAAATAGCCTTACACCCTGGTTGCACTGGGTGCAACTTGGCATGTGATTTGCATGCCATGCGACTTGCATATCATTTGCAAACTCATACCCTAATGTCTGCAATTACAGCGGTCATATCGGTGTGGTTTTGACTTGGTCGGAGCCACACCTTTTCTAAAGTAGTACATACACTGCTTTTAGTGTGATTTGCATAGACATCTGTGTCAAACAACACTAATGCAGTCACTACATCCAACGATACAGTACATTTAAGTTTTTGGGTTTAGATGAGCCTTTTATTTTTATTCACCTGTTAAAGAGCTTTAAGCAAATTTACTTTTTGACTTTTTCAATTTAGTTTTCAGTAAAAGAAAAAACATTCAAATAATATTATAAAAAAAAAATTACAGCAAAGGGCCTGAAACTGAACTGTCAACATTGTTAAACTGTTTTGTGTATATGCTGCGTCTGTTGAGACATTATTTTTGTATGTTTTGTGTAGGGCTGCTTTAATTTGTAAAGTGTGGAAAGAAAAGGTATTTTTCTTTAAACAAGCCAATGCACGTAACATAGTAAGAAAGTATACAGTGTGCAGATAAATGAGATTAGTGTACCAAAGTGTAAAGGTTTGACCAGTTTTTTTTAAATCATTTGGCAGCTTATACAATGAAGAGAGGAATTTACTTCGAATCAGAGAACGCGAGAGACGGAATCAGGAGATTCTACAAGAAAGACACCCGTTCAGTGATCATGCTCCCCTTTTTCCAGAACCTTACAAGGTATTTGTATGCATAGTCTGACCATTTATCTTGTTGAAATGTGACATATAGCAAGTTATTAATAGTACTGGAATGCAAGCATCTTCTGGTAACTGCATTGATCAGCACAAGGATACATAGAAAACAATTGTCTCAGGAGGGGTTTTGGGGAGTTGTGATGGGGTAAGTTGTAAATGGTTTTACCCATTCTAAGGCCCATGCAGCTTCCGTTTTGGGAGAAATGTGCGTTGGACCAGAGATTTTAACGTTTTTGAAAAAACATCTTTAGCAGCTGGATCGATATCAACCAATCCGCCTTCTTTAGCAACACAAAGAGCTGTATGACCATCTTGGCCACAATTATTAGGACAGCAGGAAGAATTCTTTGATTTGGCAAGATATTGTATCAAAAACTTAAACGGATTGGTAAAAATCAAAATCCCAGCAAACAGCCAACAGTAAGTACTTTGTTCTTCTTTATTTAGCATTAGCTTGCAGTGTAACAGAATTAACAAATGTAATGTATTTTTCACACACAAATGTTAGCACTTATGCAAATAGTTTCCTGTCTGTATACTTTTTCATAATGTATCTGTAGTGCACAGGCCATAGATAATTTTTTTAGGTCTTTAATTTACATGTGACATGGGCACATTGGTGGCAGACGGCTCATCATGAATGATGTGGCTCTGGAATGGTGGAGGACGCAATTAACATCTGATTAAAGTATAACTAAAGGCAAAACCTTTTTATTTTCGTTTTCCTTTACATTGTGTGCACAATTATTAGTCAAATGGGCATTTTGAACAACTCCAAGTTGTATAAAATTGAATGCTTATTGGATTTAAAGTGCTACTAAACCCAGGACCCTGCATTTACTATATCTGGTCTCTCACAGTACACAGAACTTGTAAATGCAATTATTTTAGTAGAGAGACTGCTAAATACCATTTTCTCATTGGCAGTTAGAGCAGTCTTGTGACTATCAGTGTTCAGCTGAGCACTGATTAAAGCTTGTAGGAGGAGTTTTCATTTTGCTCTAGGAGGATGCAGAACCCCTGACCGCTGTCTGTACAGTGCTGATTGGCCCTGTGCTGATCACATGCACTCTCCAAGGTGAAAAAAAAACCTCTAGCAATACACACCAAACTGAGCATGTGCAGAGTGTCTCCACACAATGTCTTATCAGGAGAGAAGAGGGGGACACTGGAAGAAGGGGAGGATTAGAGAAGACAGGATCAAACTGCGTTTTTACTCAATACGAAGGATTAACCCTTTAGGTTCAACAGCGAGTATAATGAGCATGCTTTACTGCATATACAGACTGATTTTACTGTTGTGGGTTTAGTAACACTTTAACCATTAGCCGCCCGGCCAATGGCCGTTTGGCGGCTTGAAAAGCGCTGCAGCTTTCCGGGTGCACGCCATTTGGCGTGCTCCCGCACATGCGCGGTTGCAGAGCGACGCAGCAGTGCGATCTGTCACCGCCCGTGCACCTCGGACACGGCCGATGACAGATCCGAGAGTACCGGCTCCCGTTGCCGGTACCATGTGACCTGCTGTGACCAATCACAGCAGGTCACATGACAGTTGTATACAATGGATGGCTTCATTCATGATGCCATCCATTTTATACTAGTGCCTAGCTGTGAATGGTCACAGCTAATCACATGCACATGTCATGTGCAAAAAAATACTGATCACTTCCCCAAAGTAGTACAGTGTTACTATGGTAACATTGTACTATTTTGGTCATAGTAAAATATGAAAAAAAATCTTAAAAAAAAAAAAAAAAAATGTAATAAAAAATTAAATATACTAAAAAAATTAAAAAAAATTAAAAAAATATATATATATATTTTTTTTTCATACTGTCACGAGTCAGTGTCGCTGTTCACCGCCATGCCAGTTATATGATGATGCTGTACTGCACTGGTGACAGTATGTAAAAAAAAAAAAATAGTGAAAATAATTTTTTTAGCTTTTTTCATTTTCCGAAAAATTATGACAAAAAAATACAACTTCAAAAAACTCGCCATGCCTCTTATGAAGTACGTCGGACTGTCTACTCTGCAAAAAGGGGTCATTTGGGGGATATCTGTACTGTTCTGACATTCTTGGACCTCAAGATATTAGATTGGCTGTCAGTACTTCAGGATTGATCAATATTCAGATCTATACCATAGTTTGTGAACTCTATAACTTTCCTACAAACTAAAAAATACATCCTAATTTGGGTTATTTTCACCAAAGACATGTAGCAGAATACATCTCGGCCTAAATTTATGAAGAACAATTATTTATTTGTAAACTTTTATAACAGAAACAAAGAAAAATGGTTTTTTTTCAAAATTTTTGGTCTTTTTTTGTTAATTTAGCAAAAAATAAAAACCCCAGCGGTGATTAAATACCACCAAAAGAAAGCTCTAGTTGTGTGAAGAAAATGATCAAATTTTAGTTTAGTAACAATGTTGTATGACCGCGCAATTGTCATTCAAAGTGTGAGAGCGCTGAAACCTGAAAACTGGCCTGGGCAGGAAGGTGTAAAATTGCCGGTATTGGAAAGGTTAAGCATATCAGGTGATGTGTATTTGTGTAATGAGGGAGGGTGTGACCTAATGAGATCAACACCCTATATCAAGGTGTGGATAATTAGGCAGCTTCTTCTCCTCAGGCAAAATGGGCCAAAAAAGAGATTTAACTGACTCCAAAAAGGAAAAAATTGGAAAAAGTCTTTCAGAGGGATGCAGTACTTTAGAAATTGCTATTGTGGCGTGACAACAGAACCATCAAACGTTTTGTTGCAAATACTCAACAGGGTTGCAAGAAGCGTCTTCAGAAAAAATATGTAAATTAACACACTGCCCTCCAAAATACAACTCTTGTCTCCACATTGCCAATCAGACCTATTTAATAACTCTCATTAACACCTTCTCATCCAGTCCCCCTTTTCTCTTCATCTTCCTCCACTGCATCCACCCATTAACTCACTCTCTGCCCAGAAGATCGCCAATCACTTAAAAAATAAGGTCGATGAAATTCGTTATGAAATCTCCCCTCTACAGATATCTCCCCCACTTCACACCCCATGTCCACAGGTACACTCAACACTATCCTTATTCAACCCTGCTACTACAGACGAGGTTTGCTAAACTAACGCTCACCTAACCACCTGTCGCCTAGACCCTATTCCCTCTCAATTACTGCGGTTACCCTCTGGCTCTACACTCTTTAACTCAGATCTTCAATATGTCCCTCTCTTCTGGCACCTTTCTTAGCACTCTAAAACATGCACTAGTCACCCCCATACTTAAAAAGCCTTCCTTGGACCCCATCAGTCTTAACCTACGCCCCATCTCCATGCTCCCCTTTTCCTCCATACTCCTTGACCGCCTGGTCTATAACCAACTGAGCGACCATCTCATCAAGAATAACCACCTTGATTGCCATCAGTCTGGATTTCGCCCTCAACACTCAACAGAAACTGCTCTCCTAAAACTCACAAGCGATTTAGTAACTGCAAAAACCAATTGACACTATTCTGTACTCCTACTTCTGGACCTCTCAGCTGCCTTTGATATAGTTGACTACTCCCTCCTCCTCAGAACAACGTTACTTCCTTGGTATTCATGACTGTGCTCTTCGTTGGTTCTCATTCTACCTATCCCACCGCATCTTCATTCTACAATTCTACTTCCTCCTCTCCTCTTACTTTTTCAATTGGGATCCCCCAAGGTTCTGTTCTTGGACCTCTCCTATTCTCAAGCTACACCTCCTCCCTGGGTCAGCTGATAGCCTGTCATGGCTTTCAGTATCATTTCTACGCTGATTACACCCAAATCTATCTCTCTACCCCTCCTCTCATAACCCCCACAACATCTCCAAAATATGCCCCTTTCTAACCAATGACACCACAAAGCTCCTAATGCACTCCGAGGTTATCTCTTGCCTCTACTACTGCAACTCCTTCCTCATTGGATTACCTTTATATAGGCTATCCCCCCTCTAGTCCATTATGAATGCTGCTGCCAGACTCATTCACCTTACCCAACCGTTCAGTGTCTGCTACCTCTCTCACTGAATTAAAGTGGTTATAAAGGCTGAAGGTTTTTTACCTTCCTACCTGCACTCTATGCATGAAGGTAAAAGACTTTCTGTGTGCAGCAGTGCCTCCAGCCCCCTCAATACTTACCTGAGCCTCATCGTGAAAAGCAATGTGAATGACAGCCTCAGCTGTCCCGGGTCTCTGCCTCCTCATTGTCAATCACAGCCAGTCAGACAGTGAGGAGAGAGGGGTGGGGCCAAGCCACAGCTGCTTGGTGTGGGGGTACCCGACAGGACAGACAGGAGGAGCCAGGAGAGCATCCGTGGGACCCGAGAAGAGGAGGATCCAGGGTGGTCTGTGCAAAACCACTGCACACAGTAGGTAAGTATAGACATGTTTATTATTTTGCAAAAAAAAAGAAAAAAATGAACCTCTTAGAATCGCTTTAAATTCAAAATACTAAAAAACAACTTACAAAGCCATCCACAACTTGGCCTCCAGCTAAATCACTAACCTAGTCTCAAAATATCAACCATATTGCACTCTTCTTTCCTCCCAAGACCTCTTGCTTTCTAGTTCCCTTTTCAACTCCTCCCATGCTCACCTGCAGGATTTCTCCCAAGCCTCTACCATCCTATGGAATTCCCCACCACAATCTGTCCGACTCTCTCCTACTCTTTCCACTTTTAGGCGATCCCTGAAAACTTTTCTCTTCAGAGAAGCCTATCCTGCCTCCACTTAACTGTATTTTCTCCATCAGCTCATCCCCCACAATTAATACCTTTTTGTATCACTTTACCCTCCCCTTTTTAGAGTGTAAGCTTTAACGTGCAGGGCCCTCTGTTTGCTCCTGTATTCATTTGTATTGTAACTGTATTGTTTGCCCTCACATTGTAAAGCGCTGCGCAAACTGTTGGAGACATATAAATTTTGTATTATAATAATAATTAACTGCCAAAGATTTGAGAAGAATCAG